CAAGAAACCACCCAAACCGAACCAATTGACAAAAAGCAGACTTACGATAGTCGGACCATTTGCCGCCACCGTCTGCATCCTCCTTTGTTCACATGAACTGCTCATGACACAAATCGCCACGATACTCCTCCAGGAAAACGCCCTTCCCTCCACTATCCGAGAAAGAAAGCCGAGGAGGGATATTGTAAACGCCCTACGCAACGGCACCATCCTCGACTTCCGATCGCGTTCGCCCAGTCCACTCACTCGCCCAATTCCGCTTTTCATTTAGGCAAATGACACCACCGAACAAGTTTTCTGTATTTGAATCTTGCACATCCCCCGCCATGGGCGCGCGCACCGTACCGAGAAGAGAGATTATCCATATTGAGCCGCGGGCGCTAGGGGAAATCCGATATATTACATGGGCAACCTGTTAACGATACTAACAGACAAGTGATGAGCGAAGGCAAGAGAATGTAGCACTAGGGAAAGGCGTGGAAAAATTTGATTGCGAGGAGTCTTTGCCACTCAATCAGGGTTTGTGATCCGCGCTGTGCGGTGCAGTAGGATGAAAAAGAGGGTGGTGGAAGGAGGGTGTTGAGTGGAGAAGTCAACGACTTACCCCTCGCTTAGGCGCGGTGAGATCCTTTCCGTCGAATGCATCATCGCATGTGTGAGATGTGTGTGGTTGTACGCAAAGCCGTTGACGGGCGTTCAGGTCTTAATCTTTCTTTCTTTCTTTCTTTCTTTCTTTCCTCCCAAGCTCCCTTGTTTTGCGCAAGGAGAGTCCTGCATAGGTTCTGCTATGGAGGTGACCTATATGCAAATACCTACCCAACTAGGTAGTCTTACGATCCTGCTCAAGTGGATTACCTTACTGCTTCAAGTAAGGTTTCCGTTGGATGATAGACGAGATTTGTGAGAAGAGACCTAAACCTCCGGACTCGCGAATCCGAGGTAATGACAATCGCCAACAAAGTTCGTGCTCGGTCTTTCGTTGTTCTGGACACGCTTGGCTGCAAGGTATCTTTACCAATGTAACAACAAAAGTGCCATATACACAAAGACCATGAACAACGTTCGTAGCGCATCACCTCACGAACGATTTCATCGTAGGAAGAAGACTACACTGGCATGGCGCGACACGAGACACGCGCTGACGCACAGGTAGCATGATCAGCAAACCACCCCTGCAGTAAGGAACGGCACGGATTGCGTCTTGACATGGTAAGTGCACTGTGACGGTTGGACCCCAGATCCATTAATGCGCACCCCTGCGGACAAACGGGCCTGAGCGCCGCGCTGGTGTGGTTGGGTGGAAGGCTTGGTCACTCTGGCGGGAAATTGAGACAACGGCATAGCGGATAGGGCGTACGGGATTCGAAAGTGGCAGATACGTACCAGATGAATGACTGCCGACATGAGTGGTCTGGGCTTGCGACGTTTTTCGGGCCATCAGTTTTGCGGATCTACGAAAGACGGGGACACTATCCAGTATCTCACGACTTAGGAACACCATTCATGGATCTATAGAACAATATTCGAGCGCAGACATAACGGAGGATTCGAGTTATCAATGTTTTAACATAAATTGTTCGTCCGCTATAGGATCACTATAACCTTGGGTATGGGTATATCTCATCATCATCTTCACCATCCTCGATACCTCGTAGCCTTGCGGGCGTCAACGGCGCAATTGGGCTGAGCGTCGAGTTCGAAAACCTTATTGTTGGGGTTGTCGGACTCAGCGTCGGACTATCCATACTCTTCCACCCAGCACCCACATCTTTGCTTTCAACGAGCGTCGGCGCGGACCCCAAACTACCCACACTCCGAACCGTCTCTAACAGGTCGCCCTTCTCGCAGGAATCGGCCGTCTCATACCGATCCAAGCTATTTCTTCGCGATCTTGGAAAGTAACTTCGTTTCTGATGCCGTAATTCGCCTGTGGTGACGACTCGAGGCGGGAAGTCTTGTCGACATTCCCCTCGAATGCTGACGTCGCCCTTTGACCGCGTAGCCAGGCTACTTGAGAAGTCGTCCTGTATACAGGGGAGAATCTTCTGTACCACACGATTCTTTCTTGTGTAACGACTGATGTCTGAAGAGCTTGATCTGTTCGAATGTTGCCAATCACCACGAAACTCGCGTTCCATGGGCGTCGCTTTGGTTCGGAAGTTGAAGATCCATCGTGTAACGAGACCGCGGAGAATTGGTATGTTGGCTACGATGATGGCTACGTTGTTCTCGATGTGGTTGATACAGTAGTCGATTGGATATGTCCAGTCAGGGTTGAACAATGTGTAAAGTCGGTCGCGGTACGAAAGGTAGATTTTTGCAGCACCGATTGCAGTAACACTGTAGAAAGGTTAGTCGATCTGTTCAAGCAGCATATAGATAAGGCATACGCAAGACTGCAGGTAAAGACTACCAGTACGACCAGGCGGGATCTTAGTCGAGCACTCATCATCCTTCGCACGATGATGAAAGGTATCGGAAGGATAAGAACATCGGTGAGCAGATTTGCGCAAGTGACCCAGATTAACATCTCGCCCATTTTGTGTCTGCCCATGCAGTGCAACCCTCCGAAAGTTCTTGGTTTCCAGGTATTGCCTGTTAAAGGGGGACAAATGAATATGTAGAGGAACCATGGTATCAGGGCACTGCCAACGGTGAAGACCAAGATGGCGTAGAGTACCCGCTTGAGCCACTCGATGACGGAACCAGCTCGAAGGAGGAGAAGTATGATGGATGCTTTGACTAGCGGCAGTATAGGGATGTTCAAGAGATTGAATGCCATGACAACCTGTAGTAGTCAGTAAAAACAATCTAGCATGCTGAAGCGGTACCTACAGCATAATACTCGTCATAGTTTGGTTCTATCTCATCGACTGGTACCTGCCAGATGTGTACACCCACGTGCCACATCTTTACATCTATTCAGAGTCAGTGAGACTGAACATCAACGCTCATTCTAGTACTTACGTCGATGTGACGGCCCTATGAGGGCTATTGATAGCAGCAACGGAAGTATGATGAGCCAGTCATCTGTTCGAATGCGTTAATATCGTTCACTTAAGACAAATCGACTATCATACCCCAGCTCAACCGTAGGTTCAGTTTCCGCCGCGTATATATCCTCAGGATGACGAATATCGATGCCAGGAGGGGTGTGCCGTAGATGACCCCCAGACAGGTGAGTTGGAGAGGATAGGTAGGCATCTCGACGACCTACTGTCAGGAACCTGAAGAGATCGCGAAAACCACATCTCGCGCTGCTTGTGGGTGGGCAATCTCATATAAACCTGGAAACAGGGTCGGTCAAGGGTAGCGCAACCCTTGTTCACTTGTGCGCGCCCGAGGCAGGCACAGCCGGTCGTCTCTAAATGTCCCCCGCAATTCGCATATTAACACTTACAGAAACGAGTTAAGCAGAGGCCCTTCTACTTGCCCCACGGTCTAGTCTCCCGTCGGTCACACTCACGTGGATCTGATTGATAGCTACACTATACACCTGCCACTCAAAAGGCTTGGTGTCGCTATGGAAGCCGGTCGTATTCCATGGTGCGACAAACATGACATCCCTCCTCCCGTCTACCTTGACGAATTCTCTTACATGAACAGTGAACCACATATGAGTTGGCTGGTTTCCGACGCCTCGGGAATTGTGCAGCCGGACGGTATCAGAGTGGGCTCTTCCGCGATTCGGCTCGTGGCTGTCAGAGACGCGAGAAGTGGGTGTTGTGCAGGCGCCAATTGTTCTCACGCAACCTGGGGCCCACCGGCGCTAGTACGGAGGACTTGGTGTAACGTATTCTTCCTGGAACCTGGACCGATCACAGCGTGTCGAGTAGCCGATCCCTGTTGTGAGCGAATCTGGGGCCGCCGCTTAAAGTGCATGGTCCAATGAAGGGCGGCGCACATAGTAAATGCGATGCAGCGGACAGCACATAGCGTATGGATGCCCTCAAGCAAGAGGATGAGATATGGGAACGGCGCAATTTGGCAATATGCCTTCGGAGCTAAAGGATTCGTGGTGGGTCACGCCGTGAATGCGTGGAGATTCCAGGAGCTTAGGCCTGTTCAACAGGTATCACGTTCCGGGGATGTTTCGAGAAGACACATTTGGGTAACGTGCCCTCGATGCGACGGCGGAAGCTACTCGGCTCAAGACCGTTTCAGACCGTTACACTGACGTTCCCATGCGTGCTCATTGGAGATCGCCATATTGAATACCTTCATTTGCTATCATTGCGACAGCGGAGGTCGGACGAACAAGAACAGGGGAAACTGCCGACGATCTGTGCGTTCTTATATTGCGCCGCTGGCGGTCAGCCTGACTGTATGAGGTCATCGGCTGGCGGGGCAGCCTTTTGTTACGTTGAATCGTGAACGAAGGTGTAGAGAGTGTGATTGCGTGGTGGACCGAGGTTTTCAACTCATGGCGAGTCGAACCTAGTTAGGTTCCTCCATCGAGAGCGCGGTCATGGCATGTGAGGCCACAACACACATGCATATGTGCCGAAGCGGACTTGGAAGAGAAAAACCTGGAATAATAAAGGATGTTGTGGGATTGTGGAGTGAAGCACGAAGAGTGCGTGGTAGTAGGTTCAAGTTCTATCTAAGGAGAGACCGTCAGATTAGCGCAATGTTAGCCATCATCGCCCGGTGGATGACATGTTTGTCGCGATGCACAAATTCAGCTTTCACAGTAGAGTATAGACGATTACAAAGCTGCACATCTGAGACGAATTTACGTGGCGGCTTAGAACTGTATCGTGGTTACACGGATGCATCTTTGGATTGGCCAGAATCAACTTTGTGATGATGAAGCGTTCTTTCAATATAAAGCTTCATGTTTTAGTACCTGATTCATTCAGTATCTGCACGTCAGCTTCGAATCATCAGTTGCCAGTTTGGGGCGACAACATGCCAGGAAATGTCTTTCGGTGCTACTGAGAGCTCAACGTAGGTCTCCCATTCATCGAAGACCGGCCCCAATTTTGCATTTCCAATCACTATTTCCTTCCTGATGCGAATGTCCCAATCATGTACGGTACTCCACTGGCCATCCCAACACCAGCCCCACCGAGCATGGCGTGGCCCAGCCTTAGAGGCAACCTACCACCTCGTGCAGCGAACATAGCCCCAACAGCTCCTCCACCAGCGGCGCCGAGTGTGACCCAATCTGTCTTCACCTCTCCATCATTCTCCAGTATTCTCCATGAACGATCTTTCCATTCTATTTCCTCTCGACCCCTCATACGTCCCCAAGTCATGAGTGCACCAGCTGCTGTGCCTAAAACCAGTCCGCGACCAGTTGTTTTGAGTGTACGAGACAGTATCGTCTTGTAATCTACCGATATTTTGCGGGAACGAGCTGCAATGACGGAGATCGGAAACTGGAAAAGCGAGAAGAAGGAAAAGGACATGGCTGAAGCGCGCATGACGTGTAGGTAGAGGATGCTACGTGCATATGGCTGATCTTCGGCGTATTGTGGATGTGGGAAGAGGGATGTCATGTTGTTGTACGTTTCGCGCAACTCGTCAAAATTCGGATTCGAGGTTTGTGCCGTGGGTACAGAGTCAAACGCAGCCAAATGTGATCTTTGATGGACGGGCTTTGAGGAATGGTGTAGGCTTGTAGGGCCTCGCAACGCGATACGAGATAAAGAGTCGATCCGAAGGAGTTTTCTAGGTATACTCTGTACAGATTGTACGAGAGCGACACAATTTATCTACATGTATGTGAGCATTCTCGCTATCCTTGCGCCCCGGTGCAGAGCTGAAGTCGGAGATAAAACGAAGCCGGTCGCGATAAGTTTCGGCCGCAAGTAATATTGTGCCTGCTGTCTCTTTACGATAAACTTGACTGGCTGTCAGACGATGGCAGTTTTCTACCAATGATGTTCCGGTAAGCGCTGCGCTCGCATTCCGTGGCTTGCGGTTTTCTTAGGCGTCCTGCGCGCCTGGCTCTGGAATCTCCGTCCTCCGAGTCTGCTGGTACCAAAGCAGCCTCTGTAAAGAACATTCTGCATCTTTGCATCTGTTTGCACACGACAACGTCGCAATGCCCAGAGCTTTTTTTCGAAGATTCTTGTTACGACATGCGTAGGAAGAACCTTGGAAGATTGCTCTCAAGTTAACAGGGAAGTCCATGGCCAAGCCGATCGAGAGCGATTGTCTTCGCAACATTGGCAGGCTCTCGTGCAGCTGTTGCCGAAGAAACTATGCCAATGAGGCGTTCGTGATGCTTCCCCGGATAACACCTGTGGTTCCCACATATAGGGTTGGTACTTGCTCAAAAGAGGCGGAGAAGGCGATAACAGAGCTGCGCAACAGCGATCTGACACGGACCGAATCGTGGCCATGCTTTGAATCACGAGGAGTAAGTTGGCGGTTGCGCAATGCAAGATTTCCAGAAGGCATTGCGCGTTATTGTTCCAAAGCCGCCTGACGTCATTCCGTCTGTTGATCCATAAATGCACCACTGCAGCACAGACGCTGGAGGCACTACCACCAAGCTCGCATCACCTTAGCCGGACTCTAACGAAATCTACCATCACCGGCACCTAGCAATACGAAACAAACAAAGATCCGAACCAAGATTCAACCCCAATCGTCATTATGCCCATAGGCCAACAAGAAAGCGGTGTGACTTCGGGCGTGAAGTTTGTCACGTCCACTGTAGGCAACACGGTTGGCGGCGTTACGAACACTGTGGGAGGTGTTGTTGGCGCACTTGGTCGAGGTGTTGGTGAAACGGTAAATTAAATGCCACTAACTGCATTCGAAGTATGTACTGACTTTGGGCGCCTTTGCTTAGCTTGAAGGCGCCACGGGCAGTGCCGGTCGGCCTGTTGCGAGAGGTATTTCTGATGTTTCCACAAGCATCGAAAAAGGCGCAAACGACGTAGCAGGAGGCGTGAAGCGCGCCGGAGAGGGCAAATGAGCGTCGAGCAAGGATTACGCAAGAGAAGGAGATACTGTGGCGGTCTGAGGCTGATATCATGTTGCCACTATGCTACGCCGTACAGTTGGAGGGCGGAGTGCAATACAAACAGCTACAAGATGCTGCCAGCATGTACTTTCGCGTAATCTAGAGGTACATATCTCGCAAGGAACTTGTGACCCGACAGTATGCTGCACTAACTCTAATCGGCTCCGTAGGCATTGTGATCAGACATGTGTCCAAGACTGCGTTGCCGGAACAATGCGCCGAAGTGGTCTGCGCTTACAAGATGCGACGTCTACGAGAAGCTTTCCGGATGCTTAAGATTCCTGTAGCCGAGTACATCGAAGGTTCTCCACAGCATGACGATCCGTTCGGATGAGTCAAGCCGAAGGATTATCTTGCCATATACAGGCACACGAGCATCGCACGCAGAACACAACCATGGCGCAGTCCGCAGACAACCAGGTTCTGCATCGGAGTTCCAGTCCAAGGGACACCGAAGAGAAGTAAGGAGTCCTTGCGGAGACTAAGTATAGGCTGGCGCGCCACTGTTCCATGGACTAGCTGAAGGGTCCATCCATCGTGAGATCGTGATCGCCGAGGCCGAATAACCTCACCAACACAGACCCGGTCGGCTCGGTTCGCTGTAATGCATTTGTCGCGGTGTTGGATGTACATATGCGTGTCTGCGGAAGGCAGGAGCTGTGCGGGGTCAGATGATCAAGTCCGCTTTCGTCACTCGCTGAAAAGCCTCACCGTGTCACTGACGGAGTGAGAAGCTGCAATAGGATTGACTACTGATTGTTAGTTGTCCAGTACGTGCAGAAGCTTAGCGCCACCGTTGCGGGATATAGCAGCACAAAGGGCGGAGGAGTGTAAATCCGTGTGACGTCAATGGTACGTCTGACATGCGCGTCCCATCTCAGGTACGTTCGACCATTGCAACGTCTGCATCTACACATCGTAGCCAAGCGTAGTCTTGGTGTTTCGAAATGCCATGTTTTCATCGCACAGTATTCGCACCAAGTCGACCAGTCTTGTTCAGCGATCTAAGCGGCTTCTGGGGTTAACCCGCCAACAAAGGCAAATGCGCCAGCCAGCGTACCAGCCAGCCAGACAGCAAGCGGCACACTATCGGTATGCAACCGCAAGGCCAGCGTACCAGCCTCCCCCAGCCCGTCTTAAGCGTTCCCAAGCAACGGTTCCACTGGGGACGGTGGATGGGGCGGCTGAACACACTTGAGAAAGCGAAAGCCACATGTACCCCACAAGTGCTGCGCTAGTGCACGTAAGCGTCATGCCGGATTGGGAACCAATCTTTGACATCACTTAGGCATTTATCGCCTCGACACCAATCCCATCCAACACCATCCTTGCATTTTGCCTCTCAATAGTCTGATTGAGCGAGCTACATCCTCACCACACACCACCCTGCAGATCCTCGCGCATGACTGCCAATGAGACAAAATGAAGTGATGAATAACTACGGCCCGCCACACTCCGCCTTGAGGCCTACGGAACGCACGCATATTGCCCTAGGTCAGACGCTAGGATGCACCGCGGAGCGATCGTCCTAAGCCTGCTGATACGAGACTTCGGTTCAGCACCTGTCTTGGATGTTGCATATCGCGGAAAAAGCTCAACACATTCGAGATTTGCAATACCCAGAATCTCACCGGTCGTGATTACGAGCAGGTCATATCGATTGGACAGGCAGTAACTATTCATCCACAGCTTCCAAATCAATGGCTGCAATTGCGTCCCGAAGTTAATCGAGGGCTGGGAATGAGATATGTTTAGACGAGAGGCGGGACGGGCTTTGTTCACGCGCATTCCCAGAGAGATGGTGGAGAACTAAATGAGGGGTCGGATGAATGGGTATCCAATGACACAGTAGATGGCTCCGCAGCGTTTATCGTTACGGCATGAACGAGCCTACTCCAGCCTTCTTTTACTGCCGTCAGAAGCGTCAACGCTAGGCTGCTGTAGTTTTGCATTGACGCGTGGAGTTGATCCATGGCCTTGGCTCGAGCGCTGAGGCTTCTGTCCATGTCCGATCCGCGATGGTATGCTCGATGAGGTAGATTGAATAGACTAACAACTCGGCTGGGTATTGCTATATAGCTGTCTTACCATCCCGCGTTTCTACATACCCAGAACATCACACACTCTCGTTGTCGTGAATACCAGTATCAACAGTCTTGCTTACTTGTATATTTGAAGTGACTGATACCTCGTTCATCAGTCTCCTCCGCGTCGTTACTTACTCTCGCTGTCAAGTACGCCCAATACACTAATACCGACAAAACCACTTCCGAAAATGAAGTCCTTCGTTGCTGCTGGCCTCGTGGCCGCTGTTGCTGCCTACCCTCAGGCCTCTTCCGATGGTGGGTGTGCGTCCTCCGCTGACGGCACCTTTGCCATCACCACCGTCAATGCTACCCAATCTGCCACTAGGCGCAGCATCGAGAGGCGTCAGCTCGATGGCACACTCAAGCTGTCCCTTGAGGACGGAAAGTTGACCGACCAGGCCGGCCGCACCGGTTACATCGCCGCCAACTACCAGTATGTCTTGCATAACACTTGTATACATCCAATAGATACTAACGTCCCATCAGGTTCCAGTTCGATGCTCCTGTCCAAGAGGGTGCCCGCGAGTCTTCAGGCTTCGGTCTCTGCAGCAACGGATCCATGTCCCTGATGGGCTCCACTGTCTTCTACCAGTGCTTGTCTGGCGACTTCTACAACCTGTACAGCCAGTCCACTGGTGCCCAGTGCATTCCTATCCATATCCAGGCTACCATGTCTCCAGACACTAGCGGAGTTTCTCAGATCTCCGACGGCCAGCCCCAGGCTACTTCCGCTGCTGTCACCCAGATCTCTGACGGTCAACCCCAAGCCTCAACCCCCGGTCCCGTCGTGACCCAGATCTCTGACGGTCAGCCCCAGGCCTCTAAGCCTGTGGTCACCCAGATTTCCGATGGCCAGCCCCAGGCTTCCGCCCCGGTTGTCACTCAGATTTCTGACGGCCAGCCTCAGGCTTCAGCTCCTGTCGTCACTCAAATCTCTGACGGTCAGCCCCAGGCCTCTGCTCCTCTCGTTACTCAGATCTCGGACGGCCAGCCCCAAGCATCTGCTCCCGCGAGCAACGTCAGCGGCAACGCTACCAGCCCCCCCTTCTCTGAGTACACCGGTGCTGCCGCCACTGGCGCTGCCAGCGTTGGTGCTCTCGCTGCCGGTTTCTTCGCCCTTTTCTCCCTCTTGTAAGGGAATTCAGCTTGAGTTTACTCGCACCAAACAGGGATTCAGGTCGCTCTGACGATCATGTAATGAAGGTTATAATGGAGGATGCTACGTTTTCCTTGCGACGTTCCTTGATGACTGCATGCATATATGACATCCATGTACATACCTAAAGCATAGGAGGAATGGTGTTTGGATGATTGTGTTCGAGAAAAAGGCCATGACTTTAGCTAGTTCTATAGGTAGTACAGCACTACCATGCGACGAAGATATTAATGCAACCCGATCATAATAACATACGAACTTGCTATCTTGTGTCATATCCCCTCAGCAGGTCAAAGTCTTGTGCGCCTGCATCCCTTGTCGTGAATTGTTGTTTACAATCCTTCAATGCCTTTCATCTCGGTCCCTCGCAAGCCATTGCGGTCATCCGAGCGAAACAATCCAATGGAATGCACTTTGCGCAACGCCGCAAACATGCATTCGCTGCTTCAACATCCTAACCACTGTATTGCATATCTCACCTTATGCTGATACATCAAGGGTTGTATCCTGGAGTACACTGTTCGATTGCCCATATATGCACCCACCAAGTGCAGTTTCGTGTATATATTTCTGTTCTTATCCCTACAGAGTAAATCCTCAATTTTCTGCGAAGAAGACATCGTCTCTAGGTTTCTATTATTAAATAGATAAGTGGTATTCAAGCAGTAGCTGTCTATGAAATCAACTTCACGTCATGTCCAATCCATCGATTATTTTCCCTTCCATCTGAAAAGCCATAACTATTCAACTAAAACAACAAGTGAAAATGTCCTGACCACCGTCAAACAAACAACCCATTGTCGTTGAGCAAAAGGAAATATCAAGACCAACGTCGTCAACATCCACCCTGCATGCGCTCTCTGTCCCTGCTTCCCGGGAACCATTAGCACACAGCCCATCTGACAGCTCATTCCGACAGCCACCAATCGCATAAACAACGTGTCGAACAAACAAAGATTAGGTTTCATGTCGCGTTATCGATTGACACGCATGCATACACTAGATTCGTTGGGAGCATGCGCCGTCTTGCGCACTATTTGCAAGCGTACCTAACGGAGCACTCTTTAGTCTTGTTGGAAGTATTAATAGGCTCAACATAAGGCTGGGCTCACTAGCTGTGGCGGTGCGAGATTCTGCGTACCGTCTTTCGTTTCCTTCCATCTCGCTTGGTGGCGGGTCTTGATTGAGTTTGATGGTTCGGAGTTTGGCCCAACGAACCAGTGGGTGATTGTTGCAAGTACCGAGCCGAGGTCGCAAAAGATTTGTAGAGTGAAAGTGAAGTCATTTCCTTGGGCCGCTACGGTGCTGTCGCGCTTGCGCCCTTTGGGTGAGACTGATGCTCTATCAAGACTACCTCCTCGCAGCTTCAGATTCATTTCTGCACGTTCAGGGAGTGCGATTTTGAAGTCTTGCCTGTTCGCTCATCGCTTCATCGGTCCTATTACCCAAGATCTGCTTATCCTCGAAGCCGTACGCAACCGGACGATCGTACAGATATGCACATTTCTTTTGAAAACCAGCTCGTATGCCAATCTGAATGTTGCTCTGAAGGTTGTAAATCAACCAGTTCGCTCGCACCTGCGATCACCAAGTATAAGAGAGTGGATGTATCCGTCATACATCACTCCAGTCAGCCTTCTCGTCTGTAAAGAAATCATTCCTTCGACACACCTCACTCACCTTGTACTATCTTCTCTTTACTCAAAGGACCACAGGAAGAGTTGGAGAGCAGCAGGAATAGCTGTCACTGGTGAACAGGATACTAACAGATCGGGATTCAATCCACAACTGTGCACTCGATCAGGCCTTACACAGTGTATGCCGCTGTATTTCCTGCGTTCGCTCCTAGGTGGTACGAACTCGTTTCATACGAACATCAATCTTGATACGTGCAATGCAATATTATTCCAAGAGCTAACGCCAACGCCCATAAGAGTACGTCTAACATACGTTTGACAATCATGTTTTGTACTTGCATCTAGCTCGTTCCGTCGAAAGAGCTAAAGTGTCACATGCTCTCCCTCTGCTTTCTGTTCTGCTTTGCGCCAAACTGACGTCCTTCTGGTTACTGGAAGTTTGCGCCTAGACGTACTGGCTCAACCACCTAATACCCTCTCCGTAACCTTGCCTCATGACCACACTGCACATGAAGACCTCAACCGGTCGGATACCCTCGAGTGGTACCTTGCCCTTACCCGTTGTCTGGTATAGTCCGAGCGCGGAACGGAGCTGGTCCTCAGAGATGGCATCGGGGTGGTCAATCTTGTTTCCGAGAATGACGAAGGGGGTGTTCTTCAACTCTTCCATAGCCAGAAGAGCGTCGAGCTCTGCTTTGGATTCGGAGAGACGCTCATGGTCCTTGGCGTCAACGAGGAAGACAATACCGGAAACTTCAGGGACTAGAAGAGTTTCAGTTATATGCAAAGAAATAGAGGAGCATAATTGGCTTACAGTAATCGCGCCAGAGTCGTCGAGCTTGTGCGTGGCCTCCAAGGTCGAAGGTTGTGAACTTGACGTTTCCTATCGAGAGCTCCTCGGAGGTGGGGTGGAGAGTCGGCTGGCTAGAACAGATGTCAGCTGACAGTTGTGAGCCAAAGACTACGTGCGACGTACAGGACAGCGACTCTGTCATTCTTGAGCATATGTAGCAGCCTAGTTGTGTTAGTGGAAGCTCGCGTGTCCAGTAGGGCTGCCATACGTGGTCTTTCCTGCATTGTCACTGAAGCCTAGTCAGCTACGTGTGTTCGAAAGCGTTGGTATGCGAGGATACATACAGTCCAAGGAAAAGGAGTTTGGCATGCTGTGATGTTGGGTCAGCTTCGGTGATAGAGTCTAGGCCATGCTCGTGCCTACCTTGTTCATGAGTCCAAGCGAGGACAGAACATCCCAAACTGTTGCACATCATCAGCCCATGTTCGAGTATGATACAAGCAAGCGATTGATCCATCTGGCTGGTATTCGTGGTACATGCGGTGGTGTAGTGTCGATGCGCCCGTGATAAGCCTAATGTTGGTGATTTCTAGCACGGTGTTGCAGGGCTTGGTCGGAAAGACACAAGAGTATTATGCGGGACGACGGTGCTGTCCTCAGTCTATCATGCCACGAATGTTTCCACGTCTGTCTATCCAGGTCGGGATACAACAAGAGAGGGTAGTAAACTTACACCTGGCGCAAGGTTAGTAAGACGCCAGCACAAATAGAGGACGAGGGTGCTCACCAGTCAATGATCCACATTTTTGCGAGAAGTATTTGTGTTTAGACTGTTGGTTGGGAGTATAACAGCAAGTTGTAGAGAGTGAACGGGTAAGATCAATCAATGTTGGGGGAACTTGGCCGCGATCGAGGGCGGAAGTCGAATGGCCCGTGCGTCATTTCCTTGGCGGCGCTGTTCCGAGCTCTCGCGAAGAACTTGGACATCAACCCTCCCGAACTGAACCCACCGCATCCCCGTCTAAATCCATCACAATGGCCGTCGGAGTACGTCAGACCCCTTCCAGAAGACCCGTCGAAGCTCTCGAATGCCCCATTGCTGGGCCGGCAGTAGCCCCTCGCCCGCAATGGCACCTCCGAATTGAAGATCAAGAAAACTAACATGTCCCCTCTTGTAGCGTAGCGCAGCCCTCAAGCTCGACTGGACCAAGCTGGGCACCCAGCTCGGCCTCAAGGGTCAAACCGCTGCTGCCCTCCAGTCCTTCAAGAAGCGCAACGACGATGCGCGTCGCAAAGTCACCGTCCTCTCCGAGCAGTCCCAGACCGTCGACTTCAACCACTACCGCGGCATCCTCAAGAACCAGGCCGTTATCGACGACATCGAGAAGCAGTTCAACGCTTTCAAGCCTCAGACATACGATGTAGGAAGGCAGATCAAGGCCATTGAGGCTTTCGAGGCCCAGGCCGTCCAGAGCGCAGAGCAGACCAAGGCTGTTGTCGACAAGGAGTTGAGCGATCTCCAGAAGACCCTGAAGAACATCGAGGATGCCAGGCCATTCGCTGACCTCACCGTTGTACGTATATACGGTTACGAGCAAGTGGGGGACAAGAAGCTAACCAAACAACACAGGACGAGGTCGCCGCTGCTCAGCCTGAGATTGACAAGCGCACCGAGCAGCTCGTCTCCAAGGGTCGCTGGGCCGTTCCCGGCTACAAGGCAAGTTTATGGAACCAGCAAAATGGCCTTTGTACGAATACTAACAACCCCGCAGGAGAAGTTCGGCGATCTGTCCGTCCTCTAAGTGTCTTCTTTCCATGTAGCCAAAATGTACCCGATCTGGGTTGTATTACCTACGTATTTGTGAATAGTTCCAGAGAGTGGAAATGCACCCTAGATTTTGACCATTCGCCTTGTTATGCTTATGCATTGCTCGAATATCGCTCACATGCGAACACGTTGGAAACAACATGCTACGGTTGGCACGCCTTTCTTTCGCTTGAAATGTTGTGTTTCATTACATGTGCATCCAAAACTGCGAGATACCAGTCCTCCAGGCGATACTCGAGTCACCTCGCTATAATGCCATTTCGAAAACGCCGCCCAATGCTCATCAAACACCCTTGATCTTACACACCAAGTGACCCCACCTAAACTACTCATCGTACTCGGCATCCCTGACACCACAAAAGTCACTGCCAAGGCAGTTGTCCACCATATACCAAACCCGCCAATACAGACTCGCACTGTTCATATCGAAACTTCCGTCTTCCTTTCTCGGTACATGATCTCCTATAAGGCCCTGTCCCGAACCAATTACCCAGCCAATGACCGGTAACGAGCCAAACGTTTGCTGCCAGCGGGGTTTCGCGGGGAGGAATGCCTTTTCTTGTGGAAGGAACACAACAGGTTTTACGTTTGCGCCTTTGAGTCGGAGGGTTGCGCGTTGAGATCGGGGGTTCAACGCTGTAGTAGTCGCGTGTGCGGGGACGGTATTTGGATCAAGAACTTGGTGCAGTTCTCGTGGTTGAGCGGGTTCAGTGGGCATGTCGTCCATGTGACTTGGGAAAGCACCAGTGCCACTCTTGCTGCGTAGCAAGGCTGATTCCATGTTTGATCGTGGTACAAGGGTCTGCGGTGCTAAAGGTTGGGGAGCTGTTGCTGTGGCTGAGGAAGCGGTTGCGGACGACTGCGATGCGCCGCGTAGTCCCAATGTCCCTGAAGATATTGTGTTGGGTGATGCGATCTGTGACATGCCTCCCTCTACACGCAACGGTCTGTCACCACCTTGTGGTCCTGTTCCCCGGTACATCTCCGCATGTACTATGTAGCCGTGGATGTTCTTCCCACTGTAGTGACAGGCGCGCTCGGCAGCCTCCGCACTATCAAAGGTGACCTTAACCCAGTGGTTACCTCCTATATATGTCTTGATCCTTGCCATGTATTTCGGTTCCAGAGATGGGTAGTACGATGAGCGTTGCGCAGCTAAACTGTAACCGAGTCTGGGGTTGGGTGGCTCGCGGTCATATTCTTCGTAGATCATGCCATTGGAAACCTTCTCGTAATAGGCTATTGCTTCCCATTGCTGCTCAGACCCAAAGCCGTATAGTATAACCTCCTTGGGTTCTTGTGCAAAAGTAGCGTTGGTAGACGCACCTGCAGCGAAGGAGTTGCCCAGTCCGTTGCTCGCATCTATGAGGTTTGGCGCCGAGGCTGTTGGAGGTAGTGCGGTGGACGGGCGCGCGGATACTGAGCGCCTTTTGTCTTCCTCTGCTTTGAAGCGGCCGAATATGTCGTCTTCTGCGCGCTGGTTGTGGAGTCTCGCTTCGTCGGCTGCATTGTTGGCGCCCAACGGTGTCTTTGCCCGTGAGGTACCGCGTTTTCGTGCTTTGCCAAAAGGGCCCTTTTCTTCTGGAATACGCCGTTGGTTTTGATCTGAACTATCAGGGGTGGATGTTAGCTGTGTGCGCGAGAGGATGGGAGTGTCGCAGTTGTGGTCGTCCATAGTGGTGAGGCCGAATAGAGAAAGAGACAAGCTTGTGTAGATTTCCATCGACTTTTCTCTATCACCGTGCTAGACTCTTCCAGAAGAAAGATTCCATTCAGCAATGGCAATGAAAGACTGACTTACTCCGCAAACTCATACGCCCAAGGCAGCTTCCTCCCTGTCGAATCGAACGCGCGCTCAGAGTCTGGCACTGCGTGAACCTGCATCTCGGAGACGTTTGACCTGATGCTTCTTTGAGTTTTCACTTTTCGATTTGTCGCGAAAGCGCGTGGTGTAGTAATCCCGTCTTTTGTTTATGCGACGAGAAGACGAGCGGAAAGTTAGCGCTAGCCCCAGGGACGCCGCGGCAAAGCCACCTGAGGTCTGTGCATATTACATGTGGCGCTGCGCGCGATCTCCAAGGTGACGCGGAGCCTTTCCCGATCCATCTACCTTGCGTATGCTGCATGCAATCGGAAGTGGCTTACTTTTGAGTGCTGCCTGGTCACAACGGCCAGTTGTAAGCCGATGGAACTCACACCTATCATCGTACGTGGGAAGAAAAGGAGACACTTGCACCCAGCACTTGCTGCTTCTAAAAGCAAGCCTCCGTCAATATCTGCACAAAACTCTTCAGCATCTACATCTCAGCTCAAACGACAACGACAAACGAGGTCAACATCCAAAAAGAAAGACGTCACGCCCGCTATGCCGACACTTCAAGGCCTTCCCCAGGAGCTTCTGGAAATAATCTTCCTCTACAGCATGAACACAGCGCTTCCACGCTGCTCACCGGATCTTGGTAAAAAGCTCTCTGCTCACAAGGTAGCGATGGACTTCACTATGCAAGCCTTCTTCCACACAGTCGATCACCGCACCAACTACCGGGACCGCCTTGTAACCAGCGACGCTTTGCTTCAATCTGACATCTTGACTTGCCGTTTCTTCACCTACGACTTCTTCCTAAGATATGTGCAGCGCGCCCAGGATGCAATGATCAAGTTACGCGGCAAGGCCTGGGCAGCTACCGGAGTCACGATTCCAGGTGTTTCCTACTTCGACGGACTGTGGCCATACAAGTTTACTAAGATCCCGCATCTGGCTTTTGCGCAGGGTTTCCACGTACCGGAGAAGTTGCTACATGGACCCTGGACTGTGGACAAAGCGTCGTTGCTTTACGTACTGGTCAGTCTGAACGGAGAGATCGACTGGGAAGGTAGTATGGCAGGTGAAGCGGCAAAGGCGGGAATTAAAGAGGCTATTAAAGAGGAGAACGAGCACGCGGTGGCAGCGCTTGCTGTACTTCTGGGTGTGCCAAAAGGTCTTACCACCGAATTACTGCAGTACGCTGTCATTCGTTGCGGTTGTAACATTAACATTATCCGACACTTGCTCTTCAACGCGCAGATTCTTGCCGAAGAGGCCCCAAGCACCTTGGATTTCTATGACCCGGCACTATGGGCGTGGGCAGATGTCAACGGCCACAAAGGGGAGACGCTCAAAGAAATGCTGAAGGATGCTGCCGCGTTCGGTCTGGAGTTTTACTTTGAAGACAACGCCGACTGGCCCAAGATTGTCCCCTTTCCATATGGCGGAAGCAAGTTTGATACAAGGACGGCGTTCAATGGTGTCGTCAGAGAGCTATTGACGAACCTCTACCGGAACTATGGAAGGAAGATCACACGGAGGAGGGCTATGACGCCTGAGCAGAGAAATGCAGAAGGTGATGTAGTTGATGATTAATATTGGCAGTTTATATACGTGAAGACAGAACAGATACCCATCAAATACTGCTTACCTTTACATGAAAGGAGCAGAGCATTACAGATAAAAATCACTTGGTCAACGCTTTCCTCGCAGAGGACAAATGTCGCGGGCTACTAATACAGCAACGCCTGCTTGATTGAAGCAATGCCGGGTCATGGTTCAACTGCCGGTGGCGCATGCTGCAGTTGGCTGCGATAGTACATGTATTTAGATAGAGAATTTACCTGCAAGCTTGTTAGTAAGGTGTATCCAACAGAGCGTTATCAAGCAGATGTGTAGTTGTGGTCTTCCTCAGTGATCTTGGTGATAAAATAGTAATCATAGAGATCATATACTATCTATTGCATGTTGTAATCATTGGAAGGGGGTTGGGTTGCGAGGTAGAAGAGGTGGGACTGACCTGTGGAAGATGGCTGTGTGCTGCAACAGTCGCATGTCAAATGCACTGCGCTTGGCGTGTGAGGATCAAGGTTCTTGGAAGTCTGTAGCGGTCAGCCTTTGTCACGAGCTTGGTGCGGTGAGAAAAGCTGGATGGGTAAAGCAAGCTCAGAATATGTAAGAAATTGAATATCATAAACTCGACGCCGTTAAGAAACCCCGGCGAGGGTTTCCGACGCCGAGCTCAATCGCAAATTATGTCATCCTAGGATGGGGAAGTATGGTGTGGAGGTTGGAGACTTACCAGTGGAGCTATGGGTGTCGGATCGAAGCTGTCGGTCTTCAGATTAGTGCATCTGAGCGGCAGGTGCAGGCGTGCATCGCATCACCATGTACGTAGCGCATGATGTAAATCAAGGCGATCGCGAGAGCCGTGTTGGAGACTGCACAAAGTCTCGCAACGGTCGTCGAGAGCAGTGAGAACAGCGTAGAGTTTGCGGTGCTGGTGAGAAGACAACAGAAGTCGCGCTCGCAGAAAACTTTAAGGACGGCGCTAGTGCCAAGGCGCCTTTCGCTTGTGCACGGCCCCCCGGCACCACAGGGCACGCGAAATTCGTCGCCCGATCATCAGCCATTTACTTACTCCCGACAAGAACATCAACACCGAATCCTATTTCCGACCGGTACGCACTCGACGCTGCAACACTTGACGTCTCTCGCAGTCTAACATTTAATTGCAGCACATACCGACGAAATGGGTGACGCCGAAATCACAACGAGCGCCTGGAGGCTGGTCGAGGTCGGCCGTGTGGTCCTCTTCAACGAGGGTCCATTCGAGGGCCGTCTCGCTGCTATTGTCGAGATCATTGACCACAAGCGTGTATGGAGAGTCCGCGATTCGGGTGCTGTTCAGCGGCTCACAGAGACATAGGTCCTCATTGATGGTCCTTCAGAGAAGGCCCCCATTCCCCGCCAGGAAGTCGCGCTCGCCAAGCTGTCTTTGACACCCATTGTCATCCCCAAGCTTCCCCGCTCCAGCGGTGTCGGCCACGTCGCGAAGAAGTGGGAGGAGCACAAGGTCCAACAAAAGTTCGACGAGAGCGCATGGGCCAAGAAGCGTGCGGCTATGCAGAAGAGGCGGGGGCTGAACGACTTTGAGCGCTTCAAGGTCATGAAGATGAGGAAGCAGGTACGTTTCCCCGGGTATCTGTGCTCCCAGAATCGACGATTCGGGCTGCATGTGGCACATTGGATGCGACGGAAGAGACGCAGGCTAACATGATGTAGGCTCGCTTCGAGGTCCAGAAGACCTTCGCCAAGATCCGCGCCAGCGCAAAGGCATAGGTAGTCTAGATGCTGTCGGGAGACAGGCGTTGCGGTGGTCGCTGCATGCAGGTGAGGGAGAGGCATGACGTGCATTTCATGAGCATTCCGAAGGCGACCTCAAAGGCATTCAAAAATTCAAGACCTGGTTTCGGGTGAATAAGTCCAATGTTTGGCACGGTGCAATTCGGTTTGGGACAGGTTTACTCGGCTCTCGCATGCATTCCACATGTAGCAAGAGAGTTCAATCCACAAATTCATGAACACACACGAAAAGTGCAACTAGAATTGCAATTTGATACCCTTCCCCCTTTGAAATGCCTGCTTGCGTGACATGGGCGACCTGAGCTTGAAAGCGCCCTGAATGAGTGATTGCCATGGTTCGTCATTGCCAGTTGTGTACTGAGAGCTGCCCGCGCTAAACCGCCCACAAATCATTTTTGGAAGCTCCGACCCCAACTCCGCGAACGTCGATATTGCAGCACCACCAACACCTGTAGTCACCCACAAACCGACAAAATGGCCAACCCCCGCATTGAAGAGCTCCCCGACGAGCCCGAGAAGAAGAACGTCCAGATCGAGGAGGATGAGTCCAGCGACGAGTCTGAGGGCGAGGAGGGCGAGGTCAGCGTGCCCGCGGGCTCCTCCGTCGCTGTCCACTCCCGCAACGAGAAGAAGGCTCGCAAGGCCATCGCCAAGCTCGGCCTGAAGCACATCGACGGCATCACACGCGTCACCCTCCGCCGACCGAAGAACGTGAGTGTTTGCCACGCAATGGGTCGATGAAGCCGCAGCCCTCGAGTCAACAAACAAGGGCTGCGGGCAGCACCATTGGATCTTCCCAGCAACCAGACTAACACCCCTCCTAGATCCTCTTCGTCATCAACCAGCCCGACGTCTACAAGTCCCCTTCAAGCAACACCTGGATGTGAGTAGCTGCCCCTCCATCGCCCATGCCACTTTTGCTGACCCCGCACCAGCATCTTCGGTGAGGCCAAGATCGAGGACCTCAACTCCCAGGCTCAGGCTTCCGCCGCCCAGCAGCTTGCTCAGGCCGAGGCCGCATCCCACGACCACGCCGGCCACGACCACGGCGACGAGGCCAGCAAGGGCAAGGGCAAGGCTGTCGAGGACAAGAAGGACGAGGAGGAGGAGGAGGAGGATGACGATGAGGAGATTGACGACTCTGGCCTTGAGGCCAAGGACATCGAGCTCGTCATGCAGCAGGCCAGCGTTTCGCGGAAGAAGGCCGTCAAGGCCCTCAAGGAGAACGACAACGATATCGTAAACTCCATCATGGCGCTGAGCATATAGGCTGCTCCAGTCTAGGTGTCTGGGTGTAAAAGGTGGATGATGACTTCCAAGGCATCGCGGAGTCGAAAGACTACCCGCCTGCTCATGTAAAAGAATCTATCAGCATGAATCTTTACGAAAGATCCGTGTGGCCGTCCTTGGCCCTTTCGAAAGCTTTGGTGCCCAACGAGCTGCTATTTTATCGACTCATGTGAGCAGTTTGCGACTAACTCAAGTAGAAACTTGCCAGTTGCAAGACGTGGAAGACATTATGGGGAGTGACCAGGTAAGGACTAGCACAACTCAGCTGCAACATGTCATGTGTAAGTCATTGGATGAGAGATTGCATTTACCCCTTGAGGTCTTGACCTGTCTCCGTTGGAGAATTCCTCTTCAAGCTTAGAGCACCGGAAGTAGCTTCGAGATTGATCTGTGAATGAGGTGAGATATATCAAGCATATCTGCTAGTGGGCGATCATCAGATTCTTAACGTAACTGTATCCAGATGCGTGCACGTGGAAATTAGCTTAGGCACTCGAAACTCTTTCTGACATGGGCTGTTGGTAAGCCAATTTCAGCCTCAAGGGTCTATCCGCATGCGAGTGTCAAGAACCAGTAAGAGACCATACGGGAATTAGTGTCGATAAGCCCCACTGCCCAACCTCGAACGACAAAGAGCCATCGCTGAAGAATGTCCGAGGCCACTAGATCTTCTACAGGCCGAACAACCCGGGAGGTAGGTTCATCGTCGTGCTTATGCCTGTGGCTGATGAGATGAATGATGTAGATTCATTGCGCTCGAGGACATTGCCAAAAATGGAACGCAAAGCGCCCAGTTTCTCAGCAGCGCATTGGTCAGGCATCTCTCGGAAACGAGGTTATCCGGATAGCGCTCTTGTTAGCGACTGTGAATTACATGAGGATACCAAGGTAACAGCGGTGAAGTTGGAGAAGGAACAGTGCTCAGCCACAAGCTAAAACAGCCACAACTCACGAATCCGACTGTCCCGATTCCTTGCATCATCAGCACACAGACATTTAGACTCAGCCTCAGTCTCACAACGACCGATTCTGCTTAGCTGTTCCTGATCCCGTTGACATATCCAGATATACGACGGGAATTTGACTTTCCGGACATGTTTCGCAGTCTCCGTTTGAATTGCGCCTGTCTGATCAACTTCACTTCACTACAACATCCAGCTCAGCTACGACGCTTTGTGTTGACCTTTAGCATAGCACTAACTCCATAGGCCGTTTCCTCCGCACTGTTAACGGCGATGATCTCGTTTTGGACGTCGTTACGGACCCACTTTTGCCCACAAGGCTGGGACGGGTCAAACACGCGGCCAATGAGCGATCTTCCCATTCTCTCGGCATCAGATCTGTGGTTAGTTCCATCATGATATCCCTACGGCAGCTCCTTGACTCAGGATCGATCGGGCCGCTGGACACCCTAGCAAGTCGCATAGCCCTAATATACGACCCATAATCTGACTACATCATTGTTGTTTGATCTGTCGCAGACCATATGATGCAAGGTGACCAGCCTATCAGAAATGCGGTACTCTTTTCGTAAGATCCATTGCAAAGGCATGGAGACACCCATAAGGACGAGGCTGATCAAATTTTCCCTTGTAGGTTCCAGAATCTTACTTGATGCTTCCACATTTGATCACATCCAGCTGTCTTTCTACGCTCGGCACTGACATCTTGAACTCCCATGAGTCCATCATGACGATATGGCGTCCAAAGCTGACCTTCTCAGAGTTTCTGACTGCACGGAATCCTGGCTGCTGGCTCCTGAGCTGCCTCATGACATGCACATATTCGGTGTGTCTGGACGAATCACTACGAGAGTCGTACGCTACAGCCATATCAGCAATGGGGTATATCTATATAACTTTTTGAATATCTTCTACTAACTGATGGACTCATCGCAACAGACAGCTTCTTTCACTCTTCCGCATAGATAAACTTCAGCGCCACCTGTTCAGTCAAGTACAGCTTCTCAACCACCGACACATGTCGATTCGCTCTACATCCACCACCGACACCGAGCATAGTGAATATAGCAACCCACCAGTACGCAGATACAGAGTACCAGAGTTCGCCAAAATGTCTTCTTCTACCAGGAAGATCACTCCCGTATGTTTCTATTTGCTGTATAGATTTCGACCTCAGTAATGCTGACACTGTGTCACGATAGGCCGAAAAGGCACAATACATTCGAGCACTACGGTCTCATCAGTTCAACACTATAGTCGAATTGATCCGCGTTGAGCAGGCGTTTGCGAAGCTTGGTACACCAGATTGCAGTGAACCCATGACATCGGCTTGTAAGAGTCTACGGCCCCAGCGAACTTGTGAAAGAAGACTGACAGCACTCATCAGGGAGATACTATGTCGAATCGCACAGCTTGTTGGCCGAGCTCCGCGGACTGACGAAGAACTATCCATTCAGGTAAGCTACCCTCGATAAGTTTCAACAATGCGTAAGGGGATCTTCTAGTGCATTGGCTGATCAATACAAAGTTCCGATGCCTTGGACGAAGCTAAGAGGCGTGTCTATGCTGATCCTGCAAGTAACCGCTCGTGGAATCTGTGTTGGTTGGTTCTGAACAAGATACAGACTGAGTACGTCTGACGACCAGCATTGTCTTGCGGAAGTCCTCGCTAACGTAACTCAGCCAACTCCTTCCGTATTATGCGCATTATCAGGCATCGCAGCCTGCCATGTGGGCAGGCCGTACGCCTTCTGCTGAGCAGATCACTCAGCTCACCAATGCGTTCGTCAACGAATGGAACTGGGCTCTTGGCCAAATGTTGGGTCGTTGGACGCAACCACCGGCTAGGTGATTATGAGGAGTGATTGGCTTGATATTTCTTGGTGATGGCGTTGATCGCTATCTTGTTCTTCTTGATCCCGTGGCGGCTTTCTGCTGTTTGTACACTCGCTTGTATCCTGGCGCTATAGATCTCTTCAAATGTTATTTTTTCTGCATGACATGTCTAGAACTTCTCACAAGCGGGCCTCATGTCCAGCTCGTGGGTCCACAAGCAGGGCTTCTGCGAATGCAACCAAAGGTAAGTCTCACCAACCGCATCAGCGCTCATCTTCTTGCCCACCTTTTGATCCTCCCCGTCCTCGTCGACAATTGCGCCATTTCCAATCGTATGTACGACATGTACGCCCTTCTCACTCATCTCGCGAGCCAGTGTTTGCGCTAGTTGACGGACGGATGCGCGACCAGCACCATACGCAGCGAATTGTGCACTACATCGGAGCGCACCAAGAGTGCCGGTGAAGATGAGCGTCTGTTGTACACCGTTAGTTTCACGCTCGATCACATCGTAGCGGAGGCTATGCTTACCCCTTTCTTCTCCCCTCCATCCATCAAGCCCACCTCTCCGTGATCGGCAAAGAATCTCTTCAGACTTTCCTGCGCAAACGTGAAAGCTCCACCAACATACGTTTCTAAACTTTCCTCAAATTCTTCCCTTGTCTCCTCCAAGAACGGCTTCTTGCTCGAATGCTTGATACTATATATCGCTAGCTTCAGCTTTAGGCCCTTGAAGCTCTCGTGTGCTTTGATATCTGCGAATACCTTCTCGAGAGATGCCTTTGAGGTGTCGCTCGGGAATGCTTCGAGCACCGCGTTCTCGTTGGTGGAGCGGACTTTGGAAATGACAGTCTGCAGGTTCTCTGGGCGTCGGGCTAGGAGCGCTACGGCGAGGTTACCATGTTGAGGAGATGACAGGATTCGTGCAATTCCCGTGCCCTAGGTCTGTGGCATTAGAGTCACGTATATGCTGCTACGTTCGCCGGACAACTTACAGTAGCAGGGCCGGCCCCAATGAGAATGGCGAGACCTGAGGGTGACATTGTGAAGTTGTTTTCAAGATTCACAAAATGGTCTTGCTTAGGAGTCTCGTTGCTGTTGTTCTGTTGAACGAGGCTTGATCCTCGTTGATTGCATCATGACTGGCTATGGCGGTAGTGACGTCTACAGTGAAGATCGCTTGCTATCTCCGGAATGTCCTGATCTGGTGTTGCCGCAGAAGGCGTTTCAATTTCAGTGCTACGATTGACTGATACAGATATGAAAATACAAATACACACTTACCTGGGTAAACATGCTTTACCGAATCTACAGTATTTGTATATCCTCAAGTTGTCACATTTGCGAAGTTACTATTAGGGTCTTTGGCAAAGAGAGCAGGTGTTATGACGTCAGCTGACATCCTTCAAGACAGAGAACACGGAATCGCTCGAGTACCTCACAAAGTTCTAGCGACCGCACTAAGTTACTTCGTAGAGAAATTCAGGTAATAGAATCGATTCCGAAAGGTGAGATTGGAGCTGGGTCTCGACTGCCCGGGCAGCAGACAGATTTTTCGTTCCGAATTCTCTTTCCTTCTCCAGTCTCCAGGCAAGCCTTCCGGGGGTTCGGTCTCGCACGTTGTGATACTAGCATACTGGTCTTGGGGGGAAATGCGTGTGCTAGTACGCGTACAACGAAATTGGTAGGGTTCAGGCCAGTAGAATCAACTTAACCTAAATCCGCCGTACATCCGAAGTCCCCTTTGTTCCTCACACCCCCTCATTCCTCTTTTGAAGATCCAGTACGGTCCAGACCTTCGCATACCCACATCAGGTCTCCAGATATGAGGATAGCTTCCCAGTCACGATATCATGTGTAGTCCTACATCCTGGAAAGCCGGCATGAAGCCGAAGTGGGCTATATACACCGAGGTGACGAATGCGAAATATAAGAAGAGTTATATCATCCCGGTATCAATTAAGGATAACTATGAGTAATCATGGCCTGCGTGAATCGTCTCAAAGAGTATCATGATGATCTACTATTTCAGTTGATTCAACTCTCGTGATGAAATGTCAGCTGTTTTTCTGGCTATTAACTTCTCTCACCTGAGAGATCGAGAGATGACTCGAGACCAACATCCTAGGATACTGGATTAACTTTGGTGTCGATAAGAAGGTGATAAGTCTGGTACTGCAGGTAAGAGACAGCAAAGGCAGGCGTCTGCGCCTCCCTTTTGTGATGCACCCACAGGTTGGGGCAGTTCTCCTTGTATTTATGGGTACGCGCCGGGGCTAGCATCTATAGCACTTGTGACGTGCATGAAAAGGCCATGTGCTCGGATCCCTACTAACGCTAATGGAAGGGCTGACTAGGATATCGATTGGCTGCTAAGTGCGGGCTAACAGCGGATATGAACAAGGGCGAGGTCGCTACGTCTGTAAGGAAATCTAACCTCTTTCCTAAGTCCTCCTCCTACATAGGATCGTCGATAGCCTCTTCGCAGGGGCGCAGCCCATAAACCATCACAAGAATTGCGAAAGTCTCGATCCGGCACCCCCTGTCCCCACCTCGTGTTTCACTCCAGGTTCTGCTCACCGATCAGCAACAACAAACGAGACCTCCTCATTGGAACATCATGTCGTCACGGTCGCCATGTGCGCTCTTCTCCATGTCCATACAGTCGGCAGCTTTTCAAGCGAGGGCGTCGACCCGTACTGGCCTACAGACTCATGCCTGTCCCTACGGGTGCTCATCCGCTGGGTTCGGTAAGATCTCCCGCATCCATAAGTACCAACGATTTACTTTCGCGAACAAAGCTGCTGCTCCTCATGTATAGACGTTGTCGGATGCTCTAGACGTAGGAACGTGTGCAGGCTGGAAGGAAATAGAAGTCACTACGAATCAAAAGAGTTAGCTCGACATTTGAGGCCGATATATTGAACGCCACATGTTCTGAAAATCGTTCCAATTCATGTGCGAGATATACTTATTCGACGAAACGAATACTTCTTTCGTCCCTCATGGACCAGGGCGTCCCGTGGGTGGCTATGGTGAAGGCGCGGAAGAGCAATGCCTAACACGGCAGCGCTCGTGACCACGCGCGTTTGCATTGCCGAAAGATACAGTCTCGAGACTGGGCGAGCTTGCCCGGCGTATGCGCCACATTGTAAGCGCGCGAGCATGCTCTACTTCACCGACTACACGCTAGTAAGGCTGGGCCGAACGTCTTCTCGAGCCTGTGCCGCAATTTAGCAGCAAACCCTTGAAGCTCGCATGTATTGCAATAAACTCATAAGAACGGCGCACCAAACAATTTCGCGTAGGAGTTCATTTATGACGTCGAGCACACTCAGCTCAGCTGACGTTGCAAGCAGGCTTTCACCAATCCAAACTTCCTTCAGTGCGCGATCAACATGGTATCTAAATACCTATGTGCTCATTCCAAGCACAGCCAGGTCTAGAGCGCCGTTAATGCTGAGCCGACGTTTATGCTACCCCGTCTATCGGTGGCATGACAGCCACCTGCGAATATAGGGTGAAATTGCCATATGGATACACACGCATCCCGATGCAGATATTGATCCGACCCCACAACGACCCACGTGTGTAATTACGGGCGTACATGTCTCCAAACTGACAGTGTGCGTTTTGCCGGATCCTCAGAAGCTGTCAGAGCCGAGCCAGGTCGATTTGAACGTTTTGCAAGCGACGAAGTTTGGATGCAAGGCTGAGTACAAAGAATCACGTCCTACTTAGAACCGAGCTAGGCGCTATAAATGGTGTGTTTCCCCAACATACGATGAGCCGACTGGCTGCACATACATGCAATAACTACGCCCATTATGAAGGATCCAGCGGATCCAGCTGATCCACCCTACAATATACGACACTAAACTGATGCGCAGTTGAAGCGTCCATACTAAGGCATGTCATGAGGCTACGGTAAAGATACCGCCCTAGTCATGCATAGTGCAGTACGCCCTTCTCCAAGCGCTCTAGCTCTTCACTACATGCGTGTGACAAGCGAACGGCCCGGCAGCGGATGTGTCATATTCATATCAGGCAAAGTCGAGTCGCGTTTAGCGGTGAGCTAGATCTCGATGCGGGAGTACCTTCCACTACACATAGGTTTCCCGTTAATCGGAAATAAGAGCGGCTAGGAAATGTAGCATGCCTTGACAGTGAGCAAATAGATGCATGATTCGATCGATCGAAGGTATATAGGTCATGGCGCAATCGCCGGAGATGCTTGCTACACGTAGGCCGTATTCCTCGGAAGTCGACTACTGCAACCCTGGGCCCAACAGATGCGACACTAGGATGTGTTGGCATACATAGTAGGAGGGGTGCAGACACTGTAAAAGCCGAGATACACCAATAGCAAAAGGCCACCCTCGTAAGCTGAAAGCTCGGCAGTGCATCTTTAACCAACCTGGCCAATAAGGCGCATATGTTGGCAGACCCTGAGCATTGCGCAGCTCAACGTGGTCGCAGATGGGCGGTTCCGAGGCGTTTTGCATTGGAGCTGCAGCGTGGCCCGGACCACCGCTGCCCGTATTGTCTCAGCAGCACGCTATCATACCGTCTCGTTGCAGAGAGATTCCGGTGAGCCACGGTCGCTGTCATGTATGGTAGTCGATATGTTGGATTATGGGCTGTTCCTCAAGTACGGTGAAGGACCAAGGCTCAATACTGAGGTACATGAACCCTTGCCATCATTTTCGCAAATCGCGGGATTGGTCTCAGATCAGAGATTAGTGCATTCGATCACATGCTGACATGGCGCGAGTTGTGGATGGAGATAAGATCTGATGAAGATATCAGGCCTGCCCGTTTCAACCCACTTGCATATGCAGGAGCTGGGCGAATAGTGACCACTTATTATACCTAACAACGGTAAGCTCCATAGCATAGGGCTGATGCAAATGAGGAAGTGCCTGCTCTTAATCGGCCGAGTTTCTTCAAGGGTCGCATGCACACGTCGAAGTTTCCATGTGCCGCACGAACGTCTATCGAAATCAGAGCCACGTTCCGGCGGATCTTCGCATTGCTTTCTGCCACCGGGATGCCTACGCGGGCCTTGAGTATGATCCTTACAGTGGATGCTGTGGCAATCATGGGGCCACATGATTGACCCGAGGAAGGTCCTGCCAGTAAGCAAGTCCGATAATTGCGGTGGGGAAGTTGGTGGAGGCAGAAGACCCAATTTCGCCCGTGTGGCAAAGCTTCGATGCGTTCCGCTGCGTCCCCCGTGAGTGTGTAGATCCGAGTTGTAGGGTGGTTCAGTGAAGATTTTCCCACTGCCACGGCGGCTGACTGGCAGGCATTAGCGTAGATGGCATCAGGTGACGAATCACGATAAGACGGGCAGGATACACATAGGTACCTGGTCACCCACCCACCGCAACCGTCAAGGTTAGCGGGAATAGTTTTCGGCCCTGTTCCCATGATCCGGCGACTAAAGTTCGATGTCAGTCTCTCGTTAGCAAGTGCGGCTCCGTCAGCTCTAAATTCACACACCGTGACAACAGCGGCGTGCGATTACGCGATAAACATCTTCAAAAGAACCCCATTCACCGAGAATGCGGTATAAGAACGCCTTCCTCAGGCTCACTCCTGAGTCACAACATTACAGCTACATCTACAGCGGACCGATACGAACATTAGAACATCCCATCTGAACCTCCCTCTACATCATTCACAGTAATCGACCAGTCAAATATGTCGTCTCCCACACTCAGCGCGAGGTCCTCTTTCGAGAGTTTGCACAGCAACTCTTCGTCCATATTCAGTTCTCCTGATAAACTTGCCCCGGCAGTGACAGGACCCATAGTATGGCAAGGGGACGAGCTGAACCCAGTCGAGTATGTAGTCCAGCTTAACGACCGCGAAATCCGGGATATCAGAGCCGCTATAATCAAGTTCAAGCGTGAGCACTACTTATTAATCATTTTGAGCGAATGCTGATTTACGCCTCCAGTGTCCCGGCTTCCGCGGACGAAGATAAACCAGAAAAGTTTTGATCTCGGCAACCCAGAACTGGCTAGCAAGCTCTCGTCTATCAGCAAAGAGCTTCACCACGGTAAAAACGTTGTTGTCCTCCGGGGTCTGGATAGTGCTTACCTCAATGACGAAGAGGCCGTTATTGCTTTTGCGGGCGTATGCTCATACGTCTGCGCAGAACGAGCAACCGATTCTTATGCAAACCAAACGCTGAGTCATGTTCTCGATGCCACCAAAAAAACAGTTCCAGAAGACTGCAAGAATATTGGTCTTGCAGGCTCCAAGATCACTGCTGCCATGGATTTTCACAGTGACCGCTTCTCTGGCGATGTCATCGCCCTGTATGTGCGCAACGACGGCGGTCCCAATGCTGGTGGCGAGCAATTCGTCGTGAGCTTTTCCAGGATTTACAATGAGCTTCTTGAGAAGGACCCAGAAGTTTTGGAGACGATGGCGGAGCCAAATTGGCCTTTCGAGCTAAAGCAAAAGTAAGCATGGTTTTGTCGTATCTGATGTTAAGAGAGTTTGCTAATTTACTTCAGGGATGGAGCGCCTTACCTCGAATTAGGACCTACCCTCTTTTTCTCCAAGGGCAAACCCATGTGCCAGCTAGTCAAGGCTCCACTTCTTGGTACTGATACCATCCCGCGTGACCCTAGCATGCCAAAGGTTACCCGGAAGCAGCTGCATGCAATGCACGCCGTTGAAGAGCTAGCTAGGCGCTTCTGCACTAGAGTCGACCGGAAGCAGGGCGACATCCAATTCCTCCATAACCTGTCTGTCTTGCATGCCCGTGCAGAGTACCGTGGCATTGATGGCCAGGCTAGTACCCGGCACCTTTTGCGCATGTTCCTCCGCGACTCCACAAATGCTTGGGAGAAGCCGGCTAGCTGCCGTGACAACTTTGACGACCCGTTCACTCCCGGCAGACCTCAGAGCCTCCCTGTCTTCGACACGGACCCATGGCGCAGCATCAGCGGCCGCGAAAGCCATGGCTAGATACTGCTGTAACCGCTAACTCTAGCAAGCAATTTTACCCGAAACATCCCAACAGGCTTAGTGGCAGTTGGAACGACATAGTCAATTTGGCATGCATCTTGCGACTACAAGGCGAGGATTGGTGTGGCTTTATTGTATCCATGGTCTCTCTTTCCAGGACCTCTTTGTTAATTAGACCGACGGTAGACATACTCAGATATTCATCAGATTTGTTCCACGCCTCTCTCCATAAATTGCAACTCGTATATTGGAAGCTAGAAAATGACTCGCGATAGCCATTTCTCATGACTGGGTATCAAAAAACATGGTGGAACGACATGACACGGGCGGAACGTTACGCTCCAGCTTCCTTGAAAAGCTTTACAATCCATTCACTTGAAGTGGACCAGTGCGTTGCGGCAAACCCGGTAAGCGGCGGCTGGAAGCGATCTATGCTGGTTAACAAATGACTTGCAGTAGCGGATCTACAGTCCCAACTTACCGGGCTTATTTCGGTCAAATAGATTCGCAATGAGTGTGACATATGCGAAGCCTTCTGCATCAATATGACCTCGCTCCCGGAGTTCCTCCGGATTGTCGCGTGCTAGCTTGAAGGGCGAGTAGCCGCGGAGAATGCAACGCCAGTGATACAGCAGTACCGGGAAAGCGAATTCCCACTTCTTGATTTGAGTGGTCACTACGTTGCTGACCTGGTTCTCGATCAACTAGTGGAGTCAGACAAAGCTAAATCTGTATAACAAGCTCGCCAGACTTACTGTGCCATTTTTCGACTTGATGTAGTCTTGCGCACCATGGTGGATATACTCAAGGTTCCAGAAAATGACATAGAATGCCAGGAAAAGCTCGTACCAAGGCTTGATTCTAGGCTTGAAAATCAGTGTCGCTAGCTCCTTGACGAAAAGCTTTTCCAATTTGCGAAGATATTTTACAGCCGCGACGTCCATCTGGTGGGTTATGGCGCCTGGGAGTGGGCGATCGCAGGAGTTTCGGTCGTATGCTTCGTAGTCGCTACGGCCAAGTCTGCGATAATCGTACTCGCGTATACCGGGTATGTTTTCCGAGAATACTGAACCATACCCCTGCGAGACAACCGAGAGACACTGAAGTCGCATTGCGAGGTCAAGGGCTTTACTTCCAGTTACCCTCCGCATGCGTACCACTTCCTGATAGGTATGGTAGGCGACTTCGTCCTGCCGAATGCGAGCAAAAACCCACTCTTCAATTGCAGGTTGGAGGCTAGAGAAGTAGCGTTCATAAGCCAGTACGAGATTTGCGGTGTCGTAAATGGCGTATGCCGGCTGCTCGACAGATGGTACTTGTCCATCTCTGTTGGACCAGACAGATGTCGCTACATCGAGTGAACCGCGTGTCGGGCTGTACGGTCGAAAGGCGATACGCAGAGGCTGTGCATTGGGTATAGGACCGTAGCCAGGGAGGTTCCAGATGATCTCCATTTCGTATAGTTGACTGTTGTGTATCCAGTCGTAACCGAGGAATTCGGCTTCCTCTTGGTGCTCACGTCCATTGCCTGTTTAACAGTGAGAATGCTTCGAGCAAGAAGCACTGCAATGACTTACACCGACGTATAAGACTTGTATCTTCGAGGTGTTCTCTGTAACACGGCTCGCGAAACGACCTTGCATGCCCTGTGATCTTCTCACACTTTTCACACGGGTCTCCTTCGTCACACTACGTCTGTCAGTCTTGTGTCTGTCCCAATAAAGAATATGCATACTCCAGATTTGTAAAATCTACAACGAACGCATATACGCTTGGTCTTGCGCATAGTATGGGTCTTCTCCCTTTGCCTTTCCTGGAGAGGGCCTTTTCGCTTGGACACCTTCAGCTTCTCCTGTCGCTCAACGAAAGATGAAGGAACCTTAGCTGCTTTCTTCTTTGGTGTTGGCCTATGCTGAGCAAGCAGTTGCGTTGCTCGATCCACATGCTCGACTGGAACCTGGTGCTGGGAGTAGAGTTCCTGCTCAGGTGGTGCTTCGGCGACGTTCCATTCTCGACGCATGTTCTGAGGCGCTTCGTAAACAGTGGGCACATTGGAAGCTTCCACGGGGTCGACTATGGGCCAGGGAATGGTAGATGAACTATGATGTCTCGTATCTGAAGCTCTGGTATTGACGACATCGCCAGCATGACCCGAATACTGCTGGTGCGCTTCCCAGGAGACATCATGATGCAATGGAACCTGTGGGGCGTTGTTTGTGTGCAACAGAACAGCCTGTGGTTGTGAATGCGATAGTTGTGGGACTGGAGGTAGCTTCTGAGCATGATTCGAGTATGGTGGGTCTACCGTATTGGCGGGGGACTCCTGGAAGACTTAGTCGCGAACCTAGTGCAGGGCACAACATTGCTTGTGTGCACTTACTGACGAAATGCGCAGCTCGTGAAAGCGTTCCGTACTTCGAAACGCATGGTCCTGCGAGGCCAGGGGTAATGTGTGCCCTAAACTTAGCGCTGGCTGGTGTTGATATTGATGTTGTTGTTGCTGCTGCTGATAGTGCCGCGAAACAGTGGGAAGTTGATGCTGCACGGACGCGGACCCTTCCGCATCGCAATAGGGGACAGTTGAGCGCGCCGTGTAATTCTGCTCTGGTCCAGCATGCTGCCATTCCAGAGGTGCTTGTCTGACGTAACCAGCCCAAGCAGTTGGCGCAGACTGTGGATGTGAACCAGCGGAGTCGACTCCGACCGGAGGGTAATGTAGGAATTGCGCCGTTGACGGGCCGGCAGCGTACGAGTCGTGGCTGGGAGCGTTATGATGTTGCTGCCATGATCCTAGGCCATACAAAGGGTCGTGATTGCTTGTGGGGAAGTCCTGGTAGTGCGAAGGAGTTTGGGTGGCATTCCTGTACTGCGAACTGGTGGTAGACATGGAGGGCTGCGGCTGACTGCGTACAACTTCAGAGGACGTGTCGCGAGGGTGCGTGTCGCTCATTCGCTTAGAGGCAATGAGCAAGATCCGTGTAGCAGGGAACGATGGCGGCCTGGACCGTAAAGCAAAGCCGACACGGTAGATCGTTGCTTTTCGAGTTCGATGGTAGGAAGGCTCGAGGAGGCACCAAAGGCAGGTCGAGAACCACACTGGTTCATTGTGTCGGTGCCATGCATGTCTTAGCTTCCGTTAGGGCTGCATCTCCCCGCAAACCTGCCTCGCGTACCGAACAGAGACACAACTTTCGTCTTGCTCCCGCAGCCAAACAGCTCGTTATCGATTATCCTGGTGCTTGTTAATCGCTGCCGCACCTTTGTTGTTGTCGTTACCGTTAATGTGTCGACCAAGTCCGCCCGTCCATCCGTATCGAGGTTCTTCGATCAGGAAAATCGCATCCGAGACAGAAAGCCTATCTATCCAACTACGGAGTTCTGTCCCATCCAATCGCCAGTACCCAACCTCAAGTAGACTACTAACCCGGCTTCAATGTCTCAGTCTGCTTTATGCACCACTGGGTGTAGTGGCAGGGCAAACCAGCTTACGGTTGTCAAAGAAACCTTGGATAGTCTTCCTTCATCCCTCGGAGTAAGCATGCTTCGGTGCGATAGCGCATTGCTTTAAACGAGCTGCGAGATTAGATTCCACCATGTATTTTCGAATCGAATACTACATTGCTTTACTGCTAGTGGGGCGTAATAATGTTTTTCCCATCTGTAGAAGGCGTACGCCTAGCCACACCAGATGACTTGGATCGCATTTCAATTGTTGCGGCTGCCGCGTTCTTTTCGTCACCCACGTTCAAATTTCAGCGTATCCATTATCGAAAGTTCCCTTTGGACACGATAGCTTCTTACTTTGTCCAGTACAAGAAAGCTATGAAAGATCCTGCATGCGTGGTACTCGTCGCCGAAGACGTTATCGACGAAGACGAATCTGAGCATGTCTACGACGCAATACGCGAGTCTTTCAAGTCGGTAGCGCTGCGACGAAGAGGCATTGTAGGAGTATGCAGTATTCAGCTCAAACCCGAATCTGCATATACCCATCAGTTCCAGCCTCCAGAGATGCTTGCTAACCCCAATGAGCGGCTGAGTGCTTATGACCTCGAAAGAGACCAAAGTATTGAAGCTGCGAATATCTATGATGCGGTCACGCGTCCGACGAAGCTCAAGTATGCATGGGCGATACATCTAGATGGAGATTGCTGACGGCGAAACAATAGACATCTTGAGGGCAGAATGCGTCTCTGCACTTTAGCAGTGGCACCTTGTTATTGGCGAAGGGGCCATGCACGAAGGCTCGTGAGCTTTTGTACACAACTAGCAGACTCTGACGATGCGATGTTGGTATGTGCGACTGGATCAAAGAGAAGGCTACTCGGTTAATAGGATCTAGGGAGTATCCGCTACGCCTTGTGGTGCCACGGTGGTCTCGAAAGCCGGATTTCAGGAACGGGATTACGTCCGCTACACACCCTTGACGACGACCCAAAAGGTGCAACAGGACAATCTGCATACTGCTGGTTTTGAGCTTTGGTGAGAACAATAGGCCTGAAATGTACGGGCAAGAGCGCTGACCCCAAGTTTGAACTGCAGGATCGGGGTGCGCTTGCCCAGCGGAAAATGTGGTACCGGAGGAGGCATCGTGACTTGTTCGGAGAGTCCGACCATCTCGAGCTCGGCATCAGCAACATCATCGGTGTGAGATCTTGGCGATCTGCAGCAGTGGGGCCAGGGCGTAACGTGTGGTGAGGTCGATATTAGTGTCATCGGTGCGGATTATCTTGTCGGGCTTGCAGTTTCCGGTCAGGCAGGTGCGAGTAAGCTTAGTAGGGACGATGACAAAAGACTGCATAGAGAAGCTAGAGCCGAAAGGCAATCCTCATTGACTACAGACATTTCGGAAATAAATTAAACTACCTATTATACCCATTGGGCCCTCCGCGCTACTCACGGACGATGTCATGTGAGTGGGAGAAAGCTGTGCTTTCTCAGCAACTATCGAATACTTGCGCGTGTGATTACAACACCGATGGAGATGCGCGCCGCATAATCAAGCCTTGCTCTTCTTCGCTTTGGCCTTGGTTGACTTCTCCTCTTCCTCACCGTCATCTTCATCTTCGTCATACGTCTTCCTCTTCCCAGCAACCCTTGTTGACTTTCTCGTTCCTTCTGTCCTCTCCTTTGCTTCCTTCTTCGGTGCGGCTGACTTCTTGGGTTCGGCAGATTTCTCTGCTTTCTTAGCACCAGCTTTGGCACCCGTCTTCTTTGCGCCGGTGTTGGCCTTGGGCTTCTGCGCACTTGGAGGAGCCTCTTCTTCTTCTTCCCGTTGCTCCTCACCATCTTTGTTCTCCTTCTCCTCGTCATCCTCCTTCTTTCCCTCGTCTTTGTCGTCTTCTTTCGACGGCTCCTCCTCCTTTGGTTTCTCTGTCTCTTCCTTCTTATCCTCCTGTTTCTCTTCCTTTTCTTCGGCCTTCTTCTTGCCTTTAGACTTCTGTTGTGGAGCTCCCTTCTTCGGCTCGTTCTTGCTTCCAGCTTCGTTCTCGTAACCCCCACCCTTCTTTTCGTACTCTTTAGATAGCTTGCTAGCCTACATGTCGTATTAGTCCATGTACAAAGCGATGTGTCTCAACCATAAGCGGCTGCAGACTTACCTTCCATGCGCTCCATTGTCCCTTTCCACCTCCGTCCTTGTTCGTCTCGTTCTTGACCTCCTCCTTCACTTTCTCCCTGAGCTTAGGATCTGTTGGTTTTCCCTTGCTAGACGGCCTGTGCAGGGGGGCATTCATAGTCAGCCTAATTTCAAAATGCGTATTATCAAACTTGATATGGATAAGTCCTGCACATGATCAAGCGTTAAAAATCTTGCCGCAAAGTATTGGAGACCTGCTCAAACGCACGCAAGGTCAACCACCAAAACGCGCACAATCACCATAGCAATCCCGGCCACGACACGAGAAGAAAACTACGCCTACATACATTTTGCAGGGTTTGTTATTGTGATAAACCTGTCGATTTGGTTTAGGTAGCAGAGGTGAAAGTTCAATTCGTATGCAGGTAATCGTCGCGTCGCGGTCGCGTTCTCAACTATGTACCTGCCCAGGTGCGCTTGGTAGCTTTGTTTTGATACCGGTAGAAGGAATGACATCACGACTCCTGAATCGGCTTTCACCTGCACGTGCGCCACAGTGTACCATCCATTCCGGTTTCCGCGACGCTATCGAATGCTTGGCGAGAAGGGAAGTTTAATCTCAGCTCTAGCAGGAGATTACGGCGCCACGAAAATCGCAGAGCTATGTGGTTCCACATATCGGAGGTTTTGATGCAGGCGAAGAATAATATCGTGTTCATGTGTACCCTCTTTAACACCCCCGCTAATGAGGCAACCATCAAGCCGACTCAAGCACTGTCGTGTTCTATCTACGTTCGCTTGCTTTCCCATTGCTACCTTCACTTCGTCGCTCATCTCGCTTGAATTTCTTCTCTGCGTCTTTGACTATACTCTCTGCCTCGCCCATAATGTCGCTTCCAACCCTCCATCCTCGAAGTATTACACCCTGCTCGCCGAGGACTTGTTCCGCGTGCGCCCATCTCTGGCGCCAAAGCTGCTCCTTCTTCGTGCCGTACTGCTCGCCTGCAGCACCACTCAGCGTACTACCGGTACTGGTGCGATTGATACCTTGTCGCGGCACAGCAGTAGAGAAAGGCTGAGATGTTTGCGCAGACGTGACCTGTGGACGAGTGTGATATGGCATTGAGGGAGCGTGTTGCCATGCTGACGATGCCTTGGAGCTCACGTAAGATGCTGCGCTTGAAGCTGTATCGCGATTACCACGACGAGGTGGAGGTGGAGGCGGGCCTTTACGAACACCAGTGACATCTAGACTGGACGCATTGGAGCCAGGCTCTTCCGTTGATCGCAACGCAGGCAAATTACTATAGACAGACCACAGCTTATCCCGAGCCATGCCAGCGTACGACTGCTGATCTTGTGATGCTTGGCTCTGGAAGCTTGCGGACGGCTTGGGGCCCACCGGAGGTCTGAATGGTGCTGAAGTGTTTGCGCTCTTTGTGGCATGATCTTGCTGTGCTAGTGGGCTGGATTGACCGACTGCTGTCGAGGTCTTTCGAGGTTTTGGTGGCTGTGGTCGTGGGTTGGAGGAGGACAGGGTATTGAAAGACGTAGATTCGCTCGATGGGCTTCGTAGTGCGACTGGCTTCTTGGGAGGCGCAGGCGCAAACTTGGTACTCACATTCGATCCGGCTGACGAACGGTGTCTTTCGTTGTCAGCCTGAGTTTCGCTGTTGAATTTCCTAAGGGCAGGTGAATCGTCTACTTCATCGTCGGATGATAGGTCTATTAAATTGGCTGGAGAATCTCTCGGTGATATACTTTGCGAAGAGGGCTTCCTTGCAGGCAACTTCGGCTGTTGCTCGTTGTTGGTCTGCGGAAATGTTGACTTAGAACGCTTGCTATTGTCCGCATCCATGTCACGTAATGATGCTGCAATAGCAGCTCTCAGTTCAGGATCGGTTTCTTCAGACGGCGGTCGAGCCTTAGTAGAAGCAGCCGAGCTCCCTCCACTGGTACGCTGGGTCGATGACGAAGAGTGATCACCTGGTGAAAATCCAGTAGAAGGGTCGAAGAAGCCTGGACTATCTGTTGTGGTGACATCGCGAATGAAGACGGCAACGACTCGCCCTGGGTTCTCTAGTACGAAGTCGGTATAAACTTCCAGATCAGCCTCACCACTATCTCCGATCAATATGAAATTTCGCTCTGGAAAATCTCTTGCGATCTTGTCCAAAGTGACCTTCTTTCTCTCAGCCACGGGCTCGAATATTCCCTGAAGCATGCCGCTGTATTGTTTCAAATGGAACGAGCCGGGGGGTAATCCAGCTAACTCGAAGTATTTTGAGATGACAGGGTACAGCTGCCAGGGCGAGTTGGAGACGTAGTGGAATTTGACCCCCAGCTCCGCCATTCTGTTGTACCACTCTCTGACACCATCGATAGTGAGATCGACAAGATCGCGGATGAAAACATTACGAAAGATCTCGCGGGCGCCGCTACCAATAGCGGAGTGCTTTATTGTGTCGTCGATGTCACTGATGACACTGATTCCCTGCGAGGCAGTAACGATTACTTCTTCTGTTGCCGAGAGCTTGTCTGATGCTAAGATGCGAACGTGGGTGGGCACAAAATCCAAAGCCGCGCTCATACTGAAATGTCCTGCAGCGTCGGTGTACACAGTCCTCTGTTTGGATATATTCTCGTTGTAGAAGAAGACACTGATGGGTGTGTTGGCCATTGGTATTGCAAGAAAGTGTCGCAGGCGAGCCATCAGCCTGGCGTTGGCCTCGGCGAGTTCAGACGGGCTCATTTCAGACGGCTGGTTCCATGACCCTCGTTTCTGCAACGGTTTGATGCTAGCCTCACTTCTCATCGAATCTTTGGATGTGCTATGGGCGAGTTGATGGGTCCTGCCATTGCTGGGACGCGTGCTGCTCCCGGTCTCTGTCCGATATAATTGTGTATCGTCCATGTCTTTAGCAGGCTTCTCACTGTAAGCACCGCGTGCCGCCGCCCTTGCCTCTCTCTCGCCCCGGCGTAGAATTTCCTCAGCTTCCTTGGCCGCAATGGCCTCGTCTTGCTGAGCGTCGCGCAAGTGGGCCCGTTCGCGAAAGCCATGCCGTTGCGGGCTTGTATCCCGGCTATTATCTCCAGACGAAGTGGAGGGCGTAGCAGGCGCCTGTACGCCAACAAGCTGGCGTGCAAGTCCAATGAACAGCCTCTGCTTCCGCGACATCTGCCCCCTGTGCGGTGAGTATATCCAGCCACGAACATCAACGTCAACTACTGCATTGTCGTCCTCGTAGTTGTTCCATTGCTGCTTCCAAAATTCGGCGTCACCGGCGCCGGTTGAGTCTCGAACGTCGCGTCCTTCACCCTCAGTTTCTTGTATAGTGCCTGGTTGTGCTTCTGGCTTCCTCTTTATGTGCCTCCTAGCATAGCTAGGAAAGAGTATCATCTCCTCGCGGCCGCTTCTGACGACGGCCGCATCTGGAAAGCCGCCTGGCGTGTCGTCTTCGTAGTCGTATTGTGCTTCCTTGGTACTCCAGTTGGACGCATACTGTTGCGTATATGTCTGTCGGAGTTCATTTGCAGCCTTCAGGTAGCCCGCCAGCTTGCGTCTCCGTGTGCCAGGCTCCCGCGCCTCGTAGCTCTCTTGGTACGTCATTGCTCGACTGCTGGATTCTGTGTTTCCAGGACGCTTGGCTATCTGTTGTCGTCGCAACCTTGCGGCATCTTCCAGGTAGCTGCGGCCACTCAACCTCCGTGTGTAGCCCCGTAGGCGCTGGAAGATGGACTGTTTTCCTCGCGCCTTGACAGCCTGGCGATAGACGATGTATTTGTATATGCGCGACTTGGCGTTCTGCTTGAGCGACGGAAATGTCTCGTGGCGGAGTTTGGAAAGGTGAAGGCGGGCGCGTGCTCGACTCCTGGGGAACAGGTAGCGGAAGAGGGACGAGGGAGCGTGGGCAGCGGGCTTGCGGCGAAAGGGCGATTTGGGCATTCAGCCGACTCAGCGGCTGCAGCTGTCTCGCTTTACGGAAGGATTGATATGTGCAGGCTTTGGGGACACGAGACGGATGTTCTAGGCACTGGTGATGCTCCAATTCGGCTGCGATACGTCATGTCGAGGTGCATGCGCCAGCCCGCGTGCTTAGCCACGCAGCCACAGCTGGGGTCTGGCACGGACGGCATCTTGTTTGGCAGTTTACCACCATTGCGCAGTATCGTTGCCTATCAGGTTTCTCCACATTCTTGTTCGTCTTCATTCTCCACTCTGGCTACACTAACTTTCGCTGCTTCGATAGCGCCGCTTCAACTGCCTTGTTCACACCTGCCACATCCTTGTCCAGTGCATCCAAAATCTCAACCCACATTCTCGCACTCAACTCCTTCATCTCTGGCCCTGTCAAGCTCGGTCCGTTCGGCTGAATCTTATCGTGTTGCCAAAACCTTCCGTGCAAACCTTCACCCTGTGTCGTCCCACTTAACACCATATTTGCTGCAACAGCAGATGTTCTCATGAACAAAAAGATGAAGAAGAAAGCCAATATGTGTACACCAGGGAAGAAATGATCGCGGCCTAGGTCGGTATTGACCCAACCAGGGCAGACGCTGGTAATGATGACATCGCCTGACGATATTTCGTCGGCAAGCTTCTTTGTCGCGTACATGAGGAAGACTTTGGAGAAGCTGTACTGGCTTCCCTCCTTGTGGTTTTCTTTCTGGTTGTAATGGTCAAGTACGCTGGGCTTTTGACGAACTTCGGGCGCGACAACGGCGTTCTGGTGCTGGCCAGAGTTGACAAATTCAAGAATTGGAATTTTACCAGTGTGTTGTTTCGATTCTTTGAGTTTTGGTAGAAGCAAAATGGCCAATAGGGTCGTAGACAGTGTGTTGACTTGTATATCTTCCTCCCATCCATGTTTTGACTGTATGAACTTGACACGTCGAGTGCCGGCATTCAACACTGCTATGTCCAGATGGTCAAGCTCATTTGCGCGGTTTGCGAAGGCCTCTACGCTGTCATAGGACATCATGTCTAATTCCCAGACTTCCAGCTGATCACGACGTCCTAGGCGAGCCTCCAAAGCAGACTTTGTTAATTCGCCTCCCTTCAAATCCCGTACTGCGATGATAACTTTGGCGGCACCCAGTTTTGCAAACTTGAAGACCGCCTCTACACCGATCCCGGAACTCGCACCTGTGACAATA